TGCTGAGCCTGTGGCCCTGTAGCTTGGTTCTTGCCCACGTTATTTAGACACCTTAAGAGTAACAGAGTGATTTTCAGGTAGGGTGTAGATCTGGATCTACTGAGTATTACCACAGATTAGCTTTCAGCATTCCTTTATTTAGCATGATATTTTATGAAATGGCACCTAAGAACATACACATCCTCACTGCTACTGAAGGGATAGCATGTGGATGTTGTGTGTTGGTGATCTAGTGTCAATTTACAGCACTGAATGAATTAGTACTTGTAATCTGACTCTCTGGAATCTGTGTTGTGCATTACCAATTTTTTCCCTTTTTCCAGGCACTTAGAGAGAGTTATAGTAAGGGTTACATTTCTTTTCCACATATAGGCATGTGTATCCTTTATGTGCTTCTTCCTGCTGCTGCAAACAAGAATATCCCCAGTAGAACAAAATTCTGTTCATAAATCAGATTCCTATGTATAATAATGGTAATAATATTCAGTGATGGGTATAGAGAAACAAAACACTGTTATGCAGGGATTTCTGTTTCATATTTTCCAGGTGGATAAAGAGATTTTCATCTTCAGTCGTGAAAAGGAACAGCTATGATTTTTGCTGCCTAGAAAACATGGCAGAGAGGAGAATGGCATTGCTGTGTTTCTTTTAAGCTACTCACATGCAAGAATCCACTAGATCCTGATTAGGCACTTCAATCACCCCATTTTTTTGTTTTGCTTTTTTTTCAATTTTCTGTTACTGCCTTTCTTGTACAAGAAAGGTACACCAACCTATTGATGTGCTCTGGTTTTAGGAGCTTAGGGTTGGATTCTTATTTCAAATAGAAGATTTTCCAAGACTCAACTAGCCATTACAAGTCCTACACTCATAGACACCATGACCACAAAGCCAAGACAGGGCAATTCAAACTGGTCTTCAAAAGTCTTGAAAATAAAACTGTGTGAGAGGTAACAATGTTTTTTCTGAAGCTAATTTTAATTAATGACCAAAAGTTAATAAATAAATAAATACATACATACATACATACATACATACATACATACATACATAAGGCAGGAATACAATTCATCATTAAACTGTATATAGGTTTCAAAAATTAACATGGATAAGTACTAATTCCAAACCAGTACTGTTGGAGGTGATTTTTTCCTCCACTCAGCACTGATAAGAACTGCCCAGTGACAGGACAGGAAGAAATTGGCACAAACAAAACACAGGAAATTCTACTAAAACTTAAGTAATATGTCTAAGTTTTTTATTGTAGAGGTGGTCAAACATTAGAACAGTTTGCCCACTGAGGTTGTAATGTCTCCCTGCTCTAGCTGGCCATGCCTTGATCCTGGACGCTGCACCCAATGATCTGCAGAGATGCTTTCCAACTTCCACTATTCTGTGACGGTGGAAAAAAAAAAAATCACTGCAGTTTGACAAATCACTGTCAGATCACTTTCAAGTGTTCACATCACTGGCAGCAATCCTCCTTTGCTGAACCTAAGTAAATAGGAAAACTACTATGGACACTACTAGACCCTTCTATGATGGGAAGAGTGTTGTGGGAACATCCCTTTTGTATCTGAACCCTGAAGAACTCAGTAACATGATGTACTTCAAAGGTACGTTTGCTTCTAGATATATTTATCACTCCATTGTGTTAGACTGACAAGAATGAGAAACTTTTTTTCTTCATTTGTTTTCTTTTATCCTGCTTTGAATGTAGCAGAGGCCAAAATCGTTCCCAAATGCAAGGATGAAAAAATGTTGTGGCAATGTACATGTGTTGAAGAAAGAAAGCAGCAGCAGAGACCCTCCTACAATGCAGCTGCAAGAGAACTTTCTTACATTCAGTTTCCTGGAGATAGAAAACAAAGTACCTCCATCTATCTCAATAACATCAGCAGGCTGTTCCAGGATGGGTTAAATTATTTGGCATGTTTTTAGAACTAGGTTTCTTGGCTTATACCAAATAGAAAAATGCTTTTCTCAGCCTTCTAAACTGTTGTGTTGCTGCAGGTAATAGAGTAGAAGGCAAAACAGATACATTTGTTAGGACATGGGATGCCTTCACACTGGAACAACTGGTGACATATTTTTCTCAGCTTTATTGAGGTGTACATATCAAGCAACACACGTGTCTTTACCAGTGGCATTTTGATATCTTAATTCTTCCTTACTATATAAACTTTGCAATTGTTGAATCAGTGTTGGCAACAAATTTGCCACACAGCAAACACTTGACTGATGTTTCTTGATCTTGTTTTATGTATATATTTTTAACGATTAGTATGAAGAGTAGTGACCTGAATGCATGCAAAAAGATCATTCGTCAAGAGAATAGGATACTTATATTAAAAATTAATAATTTCTCTGGATCTTCAACATGCTAAGAAGAATAAATACAATTAAATGTGTGTAGTCTTCAGCTTATTCATATTGTTTTCCTGTACTCTGTGTGTTTAATCTGTCCCTATTCGTCTGATGTCTCATCTGTTTTTCCTCCATGTGGACCCTATGTTTCAATAAGAAAAATAATCAAGTTTTTCTCTTGACAGCTATTTCCAGAAAAGCAAACTTGAAAATTGTTGAGAGTTTTTGACAGGTTTGTTTTATCTGATTAACTAGAGAAATTCAATTCCACACCTAAGGGGGAGGGGGAGGAATCAACAGGAAAAGGAAAAATGAAAATGGAAAGGGGAAAGAGAAAAGGGGAAAGGGGAAAGAAGAAGAAAGGAGAAATGAAAAGAAGAAAAAGGAAAAAGAAGAAAGAAGGGAAAAGAAGAAGAAAGGAGAAAGGAGGAAGAAAAGGAAAAAGAAAAAGAAAAGGGAAAAAGAAAAGAGTAAAAAGAAGAAGAAGAAGAAAGGATAAGGAAAATCTCTATTCACACCACCTCGTAACTCTAAAGGCCCACTCTTCACTCTTTAAAAACATCTATCAAATCAGATGATCTCACCACCACTGCCTGCACTTCTAGCCCAGAAGAGTGCCTTACATCAAACAGACCCACATACCTGACAACCCTTCCTAGCTCTGTTCTCTCTATCACTTGCAGACTGATTCTGTTTTACAGAAATCTCCATCTTACTGTTCTGGGAAATAAGCATCATCTCCTTTTCTAGCAACTAACTTTTTGTCTCTTGAAATTTTATTCCCATCTCTCAGGTGCCCAGACCTTTGTGGTTACTGTGGATCTGCCCTGGCTGCTTGACTGGGAATGACACCACCCGAAATGTGTGGCAGATCTCGAGCCCAGCTCAGGGTGCCTTCCAGCCTGGCTTCAGCAGTGGGGTACTGAACAGCCAGAATCTCCCCTTTCTCTGCCTTTACTTTCCTCTCCTTCAGTGTATCGGCTGGCATATATACAGACATGGCAAAATAAAAATAGAATTACATGAGAAGGTAAAACAGTGACAGTTTATTGTTTACACTCTGGCTATTCTATTGTATCTCAATACTCCTTGCTATTTTGTATACTTCTTTTAAACTAAAACCACTTAATGTTAAGAATAACTCAGCGGTATCTTCAGCACTGGTCCAAAGAAGCTACGTGACAAGGCCTTCTGCAGAGTATTATTTATCTTCACAAATCTCAGATTCATCAGTGCTAAAAGAGATGTTCTCTTATATAACAGCCCACTGACGTTTTATATGGTAGCTATTTCTAAAGTGCAATGGGACAAAACAATAATTTGGGGATTAATTTGTTATTTTTCAGTGAAGGAATAAATTTCAGTCTGTTTTCTAATTAGAAACCAGCTGAGGCTTCTGAATTCTGATCAGTTCCAAAATTATTGCAATCAATCCTTATCAATATTTAAACTAATGAGCAAACAGAATTATTTTCATTTGTCACCTGGTGAGACAATAATTAAGTGAAAATCAAAGCTGATTTTAACTTGTGAGGATTATCTGAAAGTTATGTCATTATATGATTATTTATATTATGAGGATTTGTCTGACTTTTCTTTTTTCTCTTGAGAATCACAGATTTTATAAAGCCTATGGTGGGAAAAAAAGCCTATATCCAAATATATGTAAATAAATGTTGTATGAGTCGTTCTGTTCTCAGAGGACGATTTCCATATGATTGTATTTATTTGGGGAGAAGACAGGCTTCAGTTTGTTCCACTAATGTTTGAGGATAATGTGACACATCTTTGTGCATATAAATGTGTTGGACGTTTTTGTCCTTACTTCTTGCTTCTGACTTTTGCAAGTTTTAAGAACTGCCATATAATGTACTGTAAAGAACAAAACATCGAGTTTGCAGCTTATTTCTACTTTATTAACGAGGCAAAAATAGCTTCGTTTTTTATAGACAGAAGCTATTTCCAAAAACAAAACAAAACAAAACAAAAAAATCAAAATGCCACCATTCCCTCTCAGAACATAACAAAACACGAGGGACAGTGACAAGTTCCAGCACATACATTCCTCTGGATGTATCTTACTTTCTCAAAACACAGAATTTTGTGAGAATACCGTATTCTTAATAGTTAAAGATACGGTTCAGGGAGGCGATTCTCTATCCATATTCAAAGCTCAGCCACGAAATTGTGTTACTTCCTTCTCTTTGAACTCAATTTGCGACAAAAGTATTGAAGCTGCCCCCTCGGTATCCATCCTGTTCCGCAGAAAAGCCCCTAAAGAACAAATCTGCGCAACGGGGGAGATTTTTTGACGAAAGCTTTTATTTTAATTTAGACGGAAAAACAAAAGTTCGCCTTCCCCAGGGTCTTCCCGGACGCAGGACGGCACGTTAAACGCATCTTTTTGCTCTCGTCCTGGATGCCCGCGGCGACAAACTCCCCAGAATGAAGCTTCAAGGTCTTCCCTTCACCCCCTGAAGAAAGCGGGGTGATTTCGCGGCCGGCATTTTCCAAAAAATACGAATTTATAACTCCGAAGAAACACAGACTCGGAGGACGGAAAGCTCTTCCTGGCTAACAGTTAGGCGGGCTCTGCAAAGCACCAATCACAGATCACCGCTTCGCTATAAATTCAGGCATCGGGGTTACTGTAGCCCAATTACTTTCTTTTGATTAGGAAGAAGTCTCTGCCGCGATGTCGGAGACCGCTCCCGCCGCCGCTCCCGCTGTCGCGGCCCCCGCCGCCAAGGCCGCCGCCAAGAAGCCGAAGAAGGCGGCGGGCGGCGCCAAAGCCCGCAAGCCCGCGGGCCCCAGCGTCACCGAGCTGATCACCAAGGCCGTGTCCGCCTCCAAGGAGCGCAAGGGGCTCTCCCTCGCCGCGCTCAAGAAGGCGCTGGCCGCCGGCGGCTACGACGTGGAGAAGAACAACAGCCGCATCAAGCTGGGGCTCAAGAGCCTCGTCAGCAAGGGCACCCTGGTGCAGACCAAGGGCACCGGCGCCTCCGGCTCGTTCCGCCTCAGCAAGAAGCCGGGAGAGGTGAAGGAGAAGGCTCCTAGGAAGAGAACGCCCGCAGCCAAGCCCAAGAAACCGGCGGCCAAGAAACCTGCCAGCGCCGCCAAAAAGCCCAAGAAGGCAGCGGCGGCAAAGAAGAGCCCCAAGAAAGCCAAGAAGCCGGCGGCCGCAGCCACCAAGAAGGCGGCCAAGAGCCCCAAGAAGGTGACCAAGGCTGCCAAGCCCAAAAAGGCGGCGACTGCCAAAAGCCCGGCCAAGGCAAAGGCGGTGAAGCCCAAAGCTGCCAAATCCAAGGCAGCCAAACCCAAGGCAGCCAAGGGAAAGAAGGCGGCGGCCAAGAAGTGAAGTATTGATGTGGAAATACTTAAACCCAACGGCTCTTTTAAGAGCCACCCACCACTGTCCGAAAAAGAGCTGAGACACTTGGACAGCGAGCTCCACGCCTGCAGCGAAGCTCACGATTCGCCATTATTTACTCGCGATCAGATGGGATGCTCGCCTGCAGAAATAGCAGGACTCTGAGCTGCGGGACGTGGTTAAGATAGGGCTGGAAAAAAAAAAATAAAGTTTACGCTCTCTGGGGGGGAAAAAAAAAAAAAGAAAAAAGAAAAAAAACCACTCTCTTCAGGCTGCCTTTGTCTGAGCACCGCAGGACAGAGGTGCGTGTATTAAAGGGACTGCTGGGGCGGGTATCGCTCTGGGGCATGCAGGTCTCTCTCGGTGATTTAACTTAGACAATGCGGTTCCTAACAATCTGCGTGCTACCGCTACGCCTCTTAGGGACCGGAGCTGCCAACTCTCCGGCATGGCTCCCCCGCGTCCTTGGCAATGACCTTTCCGCTCGGTGGGGGACTTCTTAATTCCTGCACGGCTTCACAAAACTGCTGTTAGAGCCGCAGAGCGACGGGGCGGAGCAGGCAGCGCGGCCGCCACCTCCCTCCCTCTCCCACCACCGGGCGCGGCGCTCACCGGAGCCGCTGCCGGACGGACGCAGAGCGGCGCGGGGCTGCTTGGGACGCCCGGCTCTGCCCGAAGCCCGTTCTGATTGGATGATGGGAGAAACTGCGGCCGCTTATTGGACGACTGGAAAGATTCGAAAAGCCCGCGCTGCGACCTCGGCTCGGAGCGCTGCCGCTTGACAGCTCCGCTCCCTTAGCGTCTGTCTCACCGCACCCTCGCTCGTTTCGTTGTTCGCAGGGCTGCAGGGATAATCGTCCTCCTCTCAAAGACAAAATTTCAGCTCAGAGAAACGGTAAGACCGCTTAGGCAAAAAACGTTAGGTGCTTATTTTCTGCTCTAATGAATGCGCTAGTGGAGCTATTGAAAGATAGGTGATACTCTTTAAGAGTGGTGTATTACTGCACTGCAACTACTAAAATCGAAGTTCAAACACACTACTTGTGCTGATTGAATAATGGGATTAGACACACACAACGCTTACAAAACGAACTAATCACACCTGAAATTGTTTAACACCATAAAGCATCGACCAATGAATCTGGACATAGAACTTCATTTAGGGCAAACACTAAACAACCCAGAATAAAGCAGGAAATGTCAAGATGAAATAATCACATCTTATTTAAGCTTTGAAAGCAGTGAGGCACAGAAACAAACTGTGTTAAAGCTCTTTCAAGGAAGATGTGGGTGGCTCTGAAAAGAGCCTTTGGGTTCAAAGTGAGGATCAGGACCGCTCTACTTGGAGCTGGTGTACTTGGTGACCGCCTTGGTGCCCTCGGAGACCGCGTGCTTGGCCAGCTCGCCGGGCAGCAGCAGCCGCACGGCCGTCTGGATCTCCCGCGACGTGATGGTCGAGCGCTTGTTGTAGTGCGCCAGGCGCGACGCCTCGCCGGCGATGCGCTCGAAGATGTCGTTGACGAACGAGTTCATGATGCCCATGGCCTTGGACGAGATGCCCGTGTCGGGGTGCACCTGCTTCAGCACCTTGTACACGTAGATCGAGTAGCTCTCCTTGCGGCTCTTCTTGCGCTTCTTGTCGCCCTTCTTCTGGGTCTTGGTGACCGCTTTCTTGGAGCCCTTCTTAGGGGCGGGCGCGGATTTGGCCGGCTCAGGCATTCCGAGCACACTCTCCCCTAGCCACTGAAAACTGAATTGCGACTAAGATGGCTGCGGCGCCCCTATTTATAGGGCTGTTATGCAAATACAGAGGCTCCAATTCGTGCAATGCGATTGGTCCTTTCCGTAGGGGTGTTTCTTTGTTTCTGATTGGTTGCAATAAGATCCGCTCTTTCATTGGTTGTTTTCACAATTGTTGATTCCAGCCAATCACCGGCCGCTACTCCCGCCCTGGGAAGGGATAAAAGGGGACGAGCGTCTGCGTCAGTATGATTTTTCTCTGTGTCGTGCCTAGCTTGGTTTGCTCGGTAAGCTCTTATTGGCAGCCATACCATGTCGGGCCGTGGGAAGCAGGGCGGGAAGGTCAGAGCAAAGGCCAAGTCGCGTTCGTCACGAGCCGGGCTGCAGTTCCCCGTGGGCCGCGTGCATCGGCTTCTGCGGAAAGGTAACTACGCGGAACGGGTGGGGGCCGGAGCACCCGTCTATATGGCGGCCGTGCTGGAGTACCTGACTGCCGAGATCCTGGAGCTGGCGGGCAACGCGGCCCGCGACAACAAGAAGACGCGCATCATCCCGCGCCACCTGCAGCTGGCCATCCGCAACGACGAGGAGCTCAACAAGCTGCTGGGCAAGGTCACCATCGCGCAGGGTGGGGTGCTGCCCAACATCCAGGCCGTGCTGCTGCCCAAGAAGACCGAGAGTCATAAGGCTAAAAGCAAATAATTTCAGCTGGCAAAGCCGGTTAGGTTTTTCAAATCATAATATAACCCAAAGGCTCTTTTCAGAGCCACCCACTTTCTCAGAAAAGAGTTGAGTTGCTTTTTTAAGGAAATGCGTTCATGCTAAGTGTTTCTTCTATCCTGCTTTTGCTTTTAATGCATTGACTAAAACTTCTGACTTATATATATCTTAAGGGTTTTTTTATAACTCATTCTTTTTTGCTGAAGTAAAACTAAATACACTGACTTCTGGTGTTTGACTTGTAATGAAACAGATTATTTGTTTATTAGTGCTTCATCTCATTGTTAATGGTTTCTGTTAAACTGTGTAGCGTGCCTTTTATGGTATGAGATAATGGGTGTTAGCTATGAGATGAGAAAAGTAACTGAAGTAAGAAAATAAATTGAATGCTCCAGAGTTGCTGTGTAGGCCTTGGTCTTATTACTGTAAAGTTGTCCTGTAGCTGAACTTATTTAGAAAGAGATTGGGAAACGCTGTAGGGGGAATAACTTAATTTGGCCTGAATCCTGAACTACTCTGACTTGTCCAGTAGATGCACCAACTGTAGCATTTTTCCTTTCAGAAAAACGAGCTGTCAGGTTTCTATTTAAAACAGGATTTTCAAACCTGCTGGTTTTTCAAATGGTCTCACTGCATAGCTACTCTCCTGCTAGGTCTGTTAATTGTAGGCAGTATGATAGGAATTTGCAAATACAAATTTGCAAATACAAGTATCATCCAAAAGCACTCTGCTAAAGCACCTCTGATTTGCTGATGTGTGTTATTTGAAAGGCTGTCTGACTCCTCCTGCTGGGATGTTCCCTGGAGCTGCTCATGACTGCAACAAGGCCACAGCTCCCACGTGCACAGCACTTCCTCCAAGGAAGAGAGCTGCTTTGAAAGAAGAAAATAGCACCTATAGCACACCCCTGTTGTAACAGAGGAATTCTTTAGGTGGGGTTCTTCTGTAACTGAAGCAAGTGGTTCTGGACATAATAGAAGAGCTGGATGGTGCAGCAGGCTGGCCCCTTCTGGTGACCTCACCTGTGCCTTGTGGTTCTGTTTGTAAGTGGATAAATGTAAAGTTAATACATTTTTATGAGGCTGTGTTATTCATCCTAATAAGCTGCTTCTAATATCTCCAGGCGCTTATTTTTTTTTCTTGAAGTACTGCAAAGGTGGTTGTTTTCCCAGGCACATCTTTTTTATACTGAGTCTCCAGAACAAATATCTGCATCTCCAATGGATTGCAATACCTGCAACAAAGCACTGCAATGGCAGAGAAAGCCCAGGGCACTTCATCCAACTGTGGGAGTGCAGCACATCCTGCCTGTGGCAACCAGCTGGCCCCACCAGGGAGGGCTCTGCTGCACTGAGTGTGGGGGTAAGCCCAGCACACCTTGCAAAACCCTCAGTCTCATCTCCACAGCCTCATTCCAAGCACAATAGATTTCACTCAGTGCATTGCTCACTTCTGCGATTGGAGCTTCACCTTCTGGGATACTTTTTTTCCTGCTTCCTAGCATTCCTTGTTTTCATTCCTAGCTACCGGGGGCTGTAATGCTGTGAGTCTCACACTGCTACCACAGTGGGGGTCAGACCTTCACATCCTGTATATCAGGCAGTTCTGGAGTAAGTTGGCTGAGAGACCTGAGTGCTGCCAAACTTCCAATGATTAAAGTGCAGTGGCTTTCAGAGAAATTGTAGCAGATGTAGCAAATTTTTTTTTTCTCATCTGCATAAATATAAACAGTAGTAAAGAGGAAATCCTTACCCTGTGGTGCCCCTGTTAGCTGCAGCTCTGAGTCCCGGTGCACCTTCAAGTTCTCAAGAACTTGGGATGTACAAAGACAGCAAAGTTCTCCTCAGCGTTTTAAGTTAGAGTTATGTTTCAGGTTGACTTGGTAGGTACTATCTCTATATGTATCAAGTCTTAGAATGGCAATGTTTAAAAACTAAATAAAAAATGCTTTAAAAATCATATTTTGCCTTGATTTTCAGCACATGGAGTAAAGCACTCTAAAAAATCTTGCATGTCTTCAGTTCACAGGTTCCTATTGTAATAGATACAATAATACATGTAAATTGTCATTTAAGCTCAAGAAAATAGTAATGAATGTTTGTGTATAATACACTGATGCACTGATTTTATTTCTCAACTGCTGATGCAATTTCTTGTGCAGACATGCTGAGGTGTTGCCTAATGCAGCAGCTGGTTTTGTGGGGAAATATTGGTGGTAGGTGGATGGTTCAACTGATGATACTGGGGATCTTTTCCAACCTTTATGATTCTACAATGTAATAAATGATTCCGGCTTTCATTTTATATTTTAACAAGGAATTAACAAGGAAATAGGTCCTCTGTTTTCAGTAAAGCACAATTGAGACATTGGAGTCTTTTGGGTTTTTTTTAGACACAGCAGCTCTGCAAATATTTCCTTCCTCCAAAAGCTGGGTCCAAGCTCATGAGCAAACTGCTGTTAATGTAATCTAAGGTTGAGATCCTGAACACTGATCCATGTAACAACACCCTCAGGCTGCAGTGAAAACACCCATCTGTGACCACTGCCAGGGGCTCCTGACATGAAAGTATTTCAAATGTGCTTTGGAAGATGATTTTTTCAATCATCTTTTCTTTTCCAAGTTGTTCCACTACTGCTGGAGGAAAGAGGTACAGGGGGACACTCAGCCTGCACTGTGTAAGAACTATGAAGAACTGGTTTTGAAATAAAATGTTTCGTGATGTTCCTTTAGGATTCCTTGTGCATTTAGACAGTGGCTTTAACCGCTGACTCCACTGCTTTTAGAAACAAGTCCAGATGTGGAGCTTCAGGTACAAAGAACTGGGCAGACTCTGCAGCCACCCAGGCACCGGGGGTGTTATGTGAGCAACTGGAGCCTATTCTGCACGGTCACGAAGATTCACCTGATTTATTTATAAGCATTTTGAGTTAAAATGGAATTCAAGTTGTTGTAAGAGCAATAAAACATAAGACTTGCACAACTTTGGCTACCCTCAACTTGCAATGTGGAAACCTCTATCACATTACATGCTGAATGCAAAGAACAGATTCTGCCAACAGATGTACTGGAGATGTGGCCCAAGTGCTGTAAATCCAGCTCAGAAATTAAATTACATTGACATCTATACAAACTTAGAGAGAATTTGATCATTTTAAAAGATTCAGATGTTTGACATGTGCCATGTGATAAGAGTACAAATGTTAAGTGTCATAGCCATGGGTGTTGGCTGTGTAAAATAATATTTGTAGGCACGTTTCAAATCATAGGCTCCCAATTGTTCCTCAACTAATTCACTTCCTTTTGAATATTGTCCAACACACAGTAAGATGAACGTGTATGCCAAGCTCACTAGAAGAAATGCTGAAGAGCAAACCTGATCAGCTGAAGGATCCGTTCCTTTTATGCTGTGTCATAAGGACATTTTTCTGGAAACGTGTGCCACTTCTTTTGCTCGTCTCTGGTCACATGCGAGCAGCAGAGACCTTCAGTGACACCCCCCTCCCCCCTCGGTGTGACCCGACACAACGTGTGCGGCGGCTGCCGGTAGCCCCGGGACGTGCAGCCCGCCCAGGCCACGGGTGGTCAATTGCGAGGGTCCCTGCTGCATGCCGACGTTGGCCCTGCGAGCCGCAGGCTCGCTGCATTTCGCAACGAAAACCTCAGGGCCGGCTCCGGATCCCTCAGGGCCTCATTCCGTGTTCCCTCCCGCAGTTCTGTGTGAATATGAGACGCACAGTGCTCGGGGCGCAGCCTCCAGGCCTCCAAGGAGTGCGAAGCACGCGAGGAGAAGACAAAAGAAACGCGAAACCGCCACGGACAGAGCAAACAAAGAGCGTGGCCGGGGAGCCGTCGCTGGGATCGCTCCCGACGAGCAGAAGACGGAACGGTCGGTGGGGCGGGGCGGCAGCGCAGAGCGCGACCTCGGATTGGCCGAATTTTGCCGCAGACCCCGGGGCAGCAAAGGGGGGGACGGGATGGGGACGGCGGTGCCGAACCGTGAAACGTGGGACAGCGGCCCACGCGACAGCGGGCGGAGGTGCCCGGCAGACATCAGCCTCACAGCGAGCGGGGAGGAAACAGGGAAGGAGAGAAGAAGAAGGCAGCGCGACTCCAGCAAGGGAAGCGTGGGGCCCCGGCTAACGTCAGCGGGAGACAAAGCCACGGGGCAGCGCCGGGCAGAGGCCGCCCGCCCGCGGGAAGCTCTCGCTGAGGCGCGCGGGTGGAAAGGGCGGAGACTGCGGCCGAGCCCCGCCTCCCTCCGCCCGCCGCAGTTCTCAACCAGGTCGGCTCCCGCGCCATATAGCGCCACTCGGCGGAGTCCGCGGTGCGCAGTGTGGTCTGCGGCGGGAGCGGGAGTATGTCTGGCAGAGGCAAGGGCGGGAAGGGGCTCGGCAAGGGGGGCGCCAAGCGCCACCGCAAGGTGCTGCGCGACAACATCCAGGGCATCACCAAGCCGGCCATCCGCCGCCTGGCGCGGCGCGGCGGCGTCAAGCGCATCTCGGGGCTCATCTACGAGGAGACGCGCGGCGTGCTCAAGGTCTTCCTGGAGAACGTCATCCGCGACGCCGTCACCTACACCGAGCACGCCAAGAGGAAGACGGTCACGGCCATGGACGTGGTCTACGCGCTCAAGCGCCAGGGACGCACCCTCTACGGCTTCGGCGGTTAGACGCCCGTTCCAAACCTTACGCTTTTAAAACACCAAGGCTCTTTTCAGAGCCACCCACGCATTCACAACGAGAGCTGTTTATTGCTGATCTTCCTTTTAGTGAGTATGGAGCTATTAAAATGCCCCAGAAAATCACAATTGTACCTTAAGCATATTATAAAGTGGTACAAAAAAAAAAGTAGCTAAGAAGATATGAGGGATGTTAAAAGCTGCAAATGTATTTTATAAACACAATTAAAGATTGTAACCTAATGCGAGTATTTCAAATAATTTCGGAATTTAAGCAAACATTCCGTGAACCTGAATAAATATTTTTGCTCGTTAAACCAGCATCGTTTAGTCCTGTGTATCGAGCATAGTTGCGTGAATATGTTGTGAAAACCGTGACGACAACAAGCGGAAGTGTCTATAATTACGTTTCTAATTTTTACTCCAATAGGAATGGAACGATTACAATCCTCTCATTTGCATAGCACCCTTATAAATAGAGGGGCAGGCGCCATATTCAGTGTTGTTGAGTTGCAGTGAAGAGCTTGAAAAGAAACTTTTAAGGATGCCTGAGCCAGCAAAATCCGCTCCAGCACCTAAGAAAGGCTCGAAGAAGGCGGTCACTAAGACCCAGAAAAAGGGTGACAAGAAAAGAAAGAGAGCGAGGAAAGAGAGCTACTCGATCTATGTGTACAAGGTGCTGAAGCAGGTGCACCCCGACACGGGCATCTCATCTAAAGCTATGAGCATCATGAACTCGTTCGTCAACGACATCTTCGAGCGCATCGCCGGCGAGGCGTCGCGCCTGGCGCACTACAACAAGCGCTCGACCATCACGTCGCGGGAGATCCAGACGGCCGTGCGGCTGCTGCTGCCCGGCGAGCTGGCCAAGCACGCGGTCTCCGAGGGCACCAAGGCGGTCACCAAGTACACCAGCTCCAAATAAGGTTTTAAACTACAACCCAAACGGCTCTTTTCAGAGCCCCCAACTTTTCTTATAAAGGGCTGCAATTGCTTTTTTTTCCCCATCTTGTATACAAGAAATACTGTATTTTACTATGTAGCAAGATCTTGTTTTTTACATTAATGATGCCTAAGTAATAAACAGCTCTCGTTGTGAATGCGTGGGTGGCTCTGAAAAGAGCCTTGGTGTTTTAAAAGCGTAAGGTTTGGAACGGGCGTCTAACCGCCGAAGCCGTAGAGGGTGCGTCCCTGGCGCTTGAGCGCGTAGACCACGTCCATGGCCGTGACCGTCTTCCTCTTGGCGTGCTCGGTGTAGGTGACGGCGTCGCGGATGACGTTCTCCAGGAAGACCTTGAGCACGCCGCGCGTCTCCTCGTAGATGAGCCCCGAGATGCGCTTGACGCCGCCGCGCCGCGCCAGGCGGCGGATGGCCGGCTTGGTGATGCCCTGGATGTTGTCGCGCAGCACCTTGCGGTGGCGCTTGGCGCCCCCCTTGCCGAGCCCCTTCCCGCCCTTGCCTCTGCCAGACATGCTCCCGCTCCCGCCGCAGACCACACTGCGCGCCGCGGACTCCGCCGAGTGGCGCTATATGGCGCGGGAGCCGACCTGGTTGAGAACCGCGGCGGGCGAAGGGAGGCGGGGCTCGGCCGCAGTCTCCGCCCTTTCCACCCGCGCGCCTCAGCGAGAGCTTCCCGCGGGCGGGCGGCAGCGGGGCGCCGGGGTTCTATTTTTCCAAGGTGCTTCCCCCGGGTCGCGCCTTCGGCTTTGCCTGTCGCCGGCCACGGTCAGCTCGGCTTGAGCTGCCACCAGCTTCCTTCCTTTCCCCAGTTTCCTCCCCACCCCCTGTGAGGGTGATAATTCTATGACGGATCCTGTGCTCCGCGGGGGGCTGTTGCGGGAGTCGCGTTTCGGGGTCCGGCGCTCCGGTCCCCATTCCGTTCCCCGCCTTTGCCGCCCCGGGGTCTGCGGCAAAATTCGACCAATCGGGATCACACTCCGCGGTGCCGCCCCGCCCCTGATCGTCCTTTCCGGCTTCCGTTGTGCTTTGGCCGCCTCACGTTACGCTTTAAGAACGCGTTTTAATGCTTTTCTGGGAAAAATTCGCTCTCAGATTCATTAATCTGTGCCAGCTCGTTCCTATTCGCCCTTCTGCTTCTTCCTGTCAGTAAATCCTATCTGTTTTTAAGAGATCAAGGAACAGAAACCCTTAGCCACGCGTAAAAACATCTTTTTCTTTTTAAACTGTTCTATGAATTTCCTTTGTGTGGATTATAATGTGATAGGTATTTTTCCGGCATATAACACGCATTTATATACCTGTCATACTTTTACCCGTACATGGCCGCTGCGAGAAAAGCAGAGAGCCTCCAGGACCCCCATCCCAGAGAGAAGTGGGATCCCACACTGCAGTGTGAGAGGAGCCGTTCCTATCAGGGCTGTTCCTGCTGAGGATGCGAGAGCCCCGTGCTGCTCTGCTCCTTAACATGTGATGGGAGGCAGAGTTTTCAGAACGTTATCACACACATCCTTTATCTCCTCACTAAATATGTGCTCATTAATACAGTAATGGTTTTTTGCTGTTGTTGTTTTGTTTTTTGTTTTTGTTTTTTTGGTTTTTTTTTTTTTTTTTTTTTTTTTTTGTGCTTAGCAGTAAAATACAGGAGTGTATTCTAATATTTTAATTTTACTGACTCTGATGGGTTAGCATGACTTATAGAAACTAATGAACTCTACTCCCCCTTTTTTTTTTAGTCCAATTGTTCAAAAAGTATAACCCCCACAGAGTTTGTAAAAAAATATATACAGCTTTTCCCCATGACAGTGCTCCCACATTGCCAAGAGAGTGGAACAAGATATATGATGCCATTTGTAACATTGATATATTCATGCAACAGTGATGGAAATGTACCTCAGAAAAGAGAGAAGGTAAGAGATCTCCTCCTCCACAGCAGCAAAACACCTGGAGGAGCTCCTGGGAGGATCTCAGGGAACTGTGTGAGCTCTGCTGTACCCCTCTGGGAGACAGAGGTGGAATCTTTTTCACGAAGATGATCAGGGGACTGGAGCACTTCCCCTATGAGGACAGGCTGAGGGAGCTGTGCTTGTTCAGCCTGGAGAAAAAGAAGGCTGCGAGGTGACCTCATTGCAGCGTTTCAATACCTAAAAGGAGCCTACAGAGGGGAAGGGAATCAACTCTTTGAAAGGGTAGATAACTGCAGGACAAGGGGAAATGGTTTGAAGTTGAGGGAGGGGAGATTTAGGTTGGACATCAGGGGGAAATTCTTTACAGAGAGAGTGGTGAGGTACTGGAACAGGCTGCCCAGGGAGGTTGTGGATGCCCCATCCCTGGAGGTGTTCAAAGCCAGGTTGGATGGGGCCCTGGACAGCCTGGTCTAGCATTAAATGAGGAGGTTGGTGGCCCTGCGTGTGGCAGGAGGGTTGGAGATTCCTGATCCTTGAGGTCCCTTCCAACCCTGGCCATTCTGGGATTCTGTGATCTGAGCTGCAGCAAAGGAGTGGAGTTTTGCACACGCATCAGGACAGTACTGGGAGTTCGGGGAAAGTTTAAACTGTACTGTCAATTAAGTATCTGATAAATAGTAACTATTAAATGTTACTTAAGATGTGGTTTAAAAGAACAAAAAGGAATGAGGAAAGGAAGGTGAGGCGTGAGCAGATGGATACGAAGTAGCGGCAACTGAAAGTGCTCTAGTCTTCCAAATACAATGTATTCTCAAATGTCTCTTCTGTAATCTTAGTTCAACTCCCAGGGCCAAACAACTTTATGAAGTTTATTAACAGCACTACTTTCTATTTGGGCAAAGAATAAATATTCCAGAATCATAGAACCATAAGATCATTAGGTTGGAAAAGATGCCTAGGGTCATCTAGTCCAACCATCAGCCCATCCCCACCAACCATATGTCACATCCACATGATTCTGTAACACCTCCAGGGATGGTGACTCCTCCACCTCCTTGAGCAACCTGTGCCACTACAGCACTGCTCTTTCTGAGAAGAAATTGTTCCTAATATCCAATCTGGACCTCCCCTGGAGCACCTTAAAATTATTCCCTCTGGCCCTTTCACTGTCACCTGGGAAAAGAGGCTGACCCCCTCCTTGCTTCCTTTCACGTTGTTGTACAGAGCAATAGTGTCTCCCCTGAGCCTTCTCTTCTCCAGACTGAACAACCACACTTCCAGCGTTGGATGCAGAGATGTTTTGTCTGGTTTCTGTTCCGTGCTGTCTTGCACTGAGATTATCACAGTAGTCTCAGGGAGAAAAACACTGATGTCCCACTCATTTCCTTTGGCACCTGTATAATCACCCCTCACAGACTTTTAAAACCATCTCTGCAGGGACTGGAAAGTTCATGTAAATGAGTATAGTTTATTTTCTGGAAATGTTGTTTTCCTTATGAACAAAACAAAAATTATATTCTGCAACCCTGCTCAGAACTGATGTGAAGATCAAAACTGGCAGAACAAAGAAAAATGACATTCAATTTCAAAAGATATCATATATTAAATAGTGGAAAGAAGAAAAAAATATATGTCATATGCATGTTATACTAATAGATAGATGCTAACCTATGGGAACACAGCTTAGACCTGCAGTTTTTGTCTAAAGCTCAACACTTATTGAAAGTTATCTTTTATGTCTGCTGAAATATTTTCCTCCTTAAGTGCCTCATAGGATGATGCTACTGCAAAACATAATTTTGTACAGTTTTACTGGATGAGTGTGTGCTATGCTCAGGATAACATGCAAAAATGCAGAGAGAATAAGATGCTCATAATTGTCTTGAACATTCATGACATGGGGCAGGTATGCAAAGATGTTGGAATGCCCTCGAAGATGCGTAACACTGGGTTGGGATAAAGTGTAAAGAAAGCAGAGAGCAGGATATATGGCAAACTTAACAACTTGTTAGATATTTTGTATTTCATCTGCATGAGTGCATCAGCACATTCAGCACAGACTTAGTGCAGCACATAGCTAAACAAACCAGCCTGTATTGCACCTCTTCAATATTTGTACATCTACAATCTACAAGATGCTTCCATTCAGCTGAAGTTTCTTTTGATTCTTTGGAGAGAAAAGATACCACCCTATGCACTAATTTTCCAATTTATTTTACAATTAATTTCATTAAAAAAATAAAATAAACACCAAAAACCACCACTCTTTTCATATGGAAAAAGCTTTTGTTTAGAGTTTTTTCAAAATTAATATTCACCTGAAGCAGGGCTGATTTAAATACATATATAGAGAGATATATAGATAGATATAAATAATATATTTTGATCTAAGCTTATGTATTCCTAATAAAAGTGGAAAAAATTCACCAGCAGGACCTCAGTGGTGATGTTGTGCATTGGACTGATTTATCCCTGCAGCGATTTGATTCAGACCATATCAACAGGGCTCTGGATCACTCACGGAGGGTGGCAAAACAGCCAGGATTTATCTCAGCCAAATATTGCACTGAGCAGATGTATTTTTATCCTAACTTTATCTGATCTGTTACTGCTCTTTTACAGCTTACTAAATCAGCATCACACGCAAGCTGATAGGATTCGTCACTTATGTAAGGAGGAAAGAGCAAAGCCCACTGGAGACTTGCAGTCAGGCTGCTGTGGTTCCTGGTATCACCACTGCAGCTGTTACAGACCTTAAATTCCATGCAATAAATTTTTCCTGACTGCCAGTTGGATTTTCTGGAGCAAGCTCTGACAGATTATTATTGTCATCAGTGCCCTTCTGTGTTAAATACCAGATTTTCTTCAGGCCCAGGCATTGCAAATTCAGGGATCATGATTTTACACTTCCTGCAAAACCCTTGCATGTCTACTTCCTTCTCAACTGTGTTTTTTTTTGTTTGTTTGTTTTTTTAATTATTTAGACATGTAGCTCTCAGAATCAGACTCAAAGTAATCGCAATCAGTAAAACACAGCTTCCCTTCTCCTCAAACACACAAAAGAAGGGGAAAAAAGAAAAAAGAAAAAAAGCAGAAAAAAAGCATCATTTTCATCATTTTTGTCCAAACTCCTACTAAAATGTAACTTTTTACACAGCTTGTATAACATTTTGCTACAGTTCATTTCTACAAGCATGACAGTAATCATACACAGCAAAAAAAACCCATATATCAATCTGTTCATAAAGCACAGATCTTATGTCAATGAATATGGGGGGGGGGAGAGTATAATTAAAATGCCTATGATCTGATCAAGTTTTCCCAAAGTGTTGTTCTGAGATCTACCCCACAATCCCCACCCCACCCCCATCCCCAGGTTACTGCGCTGAGAGTAAAACAGAAAATGGCTGAAAGGAAGGAAAAAAACAGGAAAGAAAATGGAGCACCGAGGAATGTGATTGGTCAGATTTTGCTGCAGAGCCCGAAGTTCCTGAAGCAGAAGGAATATTTCCTGAAACAAGATGCATCAGCAATTACACAGAAGGGGAAGGAAAAAAAAAGAAGAAGAAGAAAAAAACACACACCACAAAACCCATGACTTACTGCACGAAGCTTTGAAAAAATATCTATTCCCTCCGAGCAATCCTTCTTGTCTGTGTTTGTTCACAGAAGCGAGAGCTGCATCTCACCCACTCACATGCAGCACTGCAGAACCAATTCGATCAGGCAGAGCGGGGCACTCCCTGCATTACATGGACATAAGGAGGGCTGTGCTGTATTGAGCAAGCAGTACGGGATGCAACAGGAAATTAGAAATGGATTAGGAAATGGTGTTTCGGGTAACAGGTATACAGCTTGTGGGTAGGATGTGAAGGAGCTGCACGGCAGAGCGGCAGTCAGAGACAGAAACCCCATTAGCCATGTAGGTGCACGGGAATCATTGGGTACCATGCTCTGCCAGGAAATGTGTTGGTTTCAAATGTAAACTAAAAGCCCTTAAGTAGGGCCAGAGACTGACAAGAGGGACTTGCTTACAAGAGGAATGGTCAGCCCGTGTGTGGCAAAGCACCCATGCAGGAATGGGCAGCTATGGAGACTAGACTTTGTGCTACTTCACAATTAAAGGCACTGTTTTTAACCGTGGGATTAATAAATTCTAATTAACGCTTTGAGTAGAAGGAAATAAAAGCTACAGAATAACATGGGCAATGAACTACTTACTTGCCTTGTAACACACTGCAATCGAGTAAGGAAACTCAAGTGAATACAAAATTGCATTTATACATACATGACTGCTTTCAGTAACAACTACGTTAAGGAACACCAGCTTTTAGAAATGAGGCAGTTTTGCTTTTAGCTTGTCAAAACCCTCAAAAATCTTTTCCACTAGTACCAGAAAAGCAACTCTATTAGTTAGACCTATAAAAGTGAGCTTTTCTTATCAATGAACTTTTACCCAACCACCAAAAGCAGCATTTAATCGACAGAAACATCTCTCAACCTCTTAAAAAGATGGCAATGCTTCCCCAGGCACTTACCTTAGAAACTGGCCAACAAAAGGCTACCCGCAACACGTGCAGCAGTAAACCCTCAAAAGATTTAAGAGTTTACAGCTCTTTTTAGTGGCCCTGTGGCGGCTCTTAAAAGAGCCTTTGGGTTTTCGATAGTCACAGATTCTCTCGCCAGGAGCTCAGGCGCGCTCCCCGCGGATGCGCCGGGCGAGCTGGATGTCCTTGGGCATGATGGTGACGCGCTTGGCGTGGATGGCGCACAGGTTGGTGTCCTCGAAGAGCCCCACCAGGTAGGCCTCGCTCGCCTCCTGCAGCGCCATGACGGCCGAGCTCTGGAAGCGCAGGTCGGTCTTGAAGTCCTGCGCGATCTCGCGCACCAGGCGCTGGAAGGGCAGCTTGCGGATCAGCAGCTCCGTGGACTTCTGGTAGCGGCGGATCTCGCGCAGCGCCACCGTGCCGGGCCGGTAGCGGTGCGGCTTCTTCACGCCGCCCGTGGCCGGCGCGCTCTTGCGGGCCGCCTTGGTGGCCAGCTGCTTGCGGGGCGCCTTCCCGCCCGTCGACTTACGCGCCGTCTGCTTCGTGCGCGCCATTCTCCAAAGCAGACCCTCAGCAGTGAGAAAGGAAACTATGCAGGAGGTGCTGCGAGACCCCGTATTTATAGACAAGGGCGCGCTCTGATTGGCTGGCGTGGAGGCGGCCACCCCATTGGGCAGAGGCAGGATTTGAAAAGCCCGCGCTCCTCGGCAGGTAACGGCGCCTTCCCGCTCCGCAGTCCCCACCCCTCCGCAGGCAGCGCCGCCCTCGGTTTGTGCCCTTCCCCCCCTGCGGCGGAGCGCTCGGGATGCGCGGCGCGATCTTAGCCTTCCGTCAGCATAGCGGAACACGGCCATCTGTCCCGCAGCCAGGATGTGAGCGCCTGCGTGAAAGGCTCATTCCGAAACCCGCCTTTTCCCTATCACCCGCATTTCATAAGCCTCTCATTGCTCACTTTTTCTCTTAAATATAAATTTATTGTTATTATTTCTAAAGTATGTGCACTAGACTAATGAACCCCTCTCCAGCAGATCTTCTGTTACATTATTTAGAAGGGAAAGCAAACTACGCCACATCATTAAGAAACGCACTAGCTCGTTTAAGCAATACTTTACCCAGCACCATCTGTACAGTGCTACATAGATGATGATAGATATGGAACATCGCTGTCTTGCGGAAGTCGCACACGAACACAGTGCTGTCCCCGTGGAGACCCTTTGGGTCACACAACTACTCCGTTACCCATGGCCAGGTCCCTGGGAAAGGATGGCAGTGCTTAGCGGGGACGTCAATAGGAATGATGTGAATGCGGCACAGAGCTGTAGCCATAACAAAGGCTGCTTTATTTCAAAGCAGAAGGACAACATCCACATGTATGTACCTCTGTCTGCTTAAACCTTGGAACTGAAGTGACTGTCAGAGGAATGCTTATTTGGCATAGAAATTTGATTTGAATATCATAAAATCTGTACATATTGCTCCTATGCAGAGATCCTTTATGTCACATAAAACACCACCACATTGTTTTTAACACGTGAAGCATAAGCAGTAAGCGTTTTTTTTCCCATCATTAATCAGATCAACCTACTCTGAAAACCGAAGACAATATGAAATAGCAGCACCACTCACCACCACGTATCTGTGAACCACTCTTTTACTGAAAGCATGGGTGGCTCTGAAAAGAGCCTTTAGGTTAAAATCGAGTAATCCGCACCACTCTACTTGGAGCTGGTGTACTTGGTGACCGCCTTGGTGCCCTCGGAGACCGCGTGCTTGGCCAGCTCGCCGGGCAGCAGCAGCCGCACGGCCGTCTGGATCTCCCGCGACGTGATGGTCGAGCGCTTGTTGTAGTGCGCCAGGCGCGACGCCTCGCCGGCGATGCGCTCGAAGATGTCGTTGACGAACGAGTTCATGATGCCCATGGCCTTGGACGAGATGCCCGTGTCGGGGTGCACCTGCTTCAGCACCTTGTACACGTAGATCGAGTAGCTCTCTTTCCTTGTCTTTCTACGTTTCTTATCGCCTTTCTTCTGGGTCTTGGTGACCGCCTTCTTGGAGCCCTTCTTAGGGGCAGGAGCCGACTTTGCTGGTTCCGGCATTGCGCACGCCCGCCGCTGCCTGTACCGCAGGATCGACGCAGGTACAATAGCGCCGCCGCCCGTACTTATAGAGACGGTATGCAAATTAGGGGACTCGACACTGATCCTTCCCATTGGACATCTTTGGACCTTGACGTCAAAATCACTCGCGGTGTTCAATTGGTCGGTTTTCTATCGCTGCTCCCATTGGCTAACTCCACAATCGCTGTCTCCACCAATCAAAAGTGCCGCACGACCCCAGCAGGAAGGGATAAAAGGGAGGCGCTCAGCTACTCCTGGATTCTTCCGACTCTTCTAGCCTCACGTTTTCTTTGTCAAGTATTTTTTAGCTGATTTGCAGAGACATGTCGGGCCGCGGGAAGCAGGGCGGGAAGGCGCGCGCCAAGGCCAAGTCGCGCTCGTCGCGGGCCGGGCTGCAGTTCCCCGTGGGCCGCGTGCACCGGCTGCTGCGCAAGGGCAACTACGCGGAGCGGGTGGGCGCCGGCGCCCCGGTGTACCTGGCGGCCGTGCTGGAGTACCTGACGGCCGAGATCCTGGAGCTGGCGGGCAACGCGGCCCGCGACAACAAGAAGACGCGCATCATCCCGCGCCACCTGCAGCTGGCCATCCGCAACGACGAGGAGCTCAACAAGCTGCTGGGCAAGGTCACCATCGCGCAGGGCGGGGTGCTGCCCAACATCCAGGCCGTGCTGCTGCCCAAGAAGACCGACAGCCACAAGGCTAAGGCCAAGTGAAGCTCCAAAAGTAAACAACCCAAAGGCTCTTTTCAGAGCCACCTACACTTTCCCAAAAAGAGCAGGAACACGTCAGTGTAAATATCAGCTTTGCTGTTTCTTTGGAAACTGACTCTATAACTAGAATCTTATTTATAGAGATCACCAAGTGCCAAGTTCTCATTAATAACAAAGTCTGTTCTGCTTGGAAGCTACGGTTACTTTTTGCTGAAAACCAATAAAAGTAAAGACACCGATGAAGTACTGCTGGTATCTGTCCCCCCCGCCTCCCCTCCCGTTGCCCGACGTTTGGAAGCAGCCGGGAGGGCGGCGCGCCCCCACCGCGCGACTCGCGAGGGTCAAAGTCCCGCCCCTTTCTGTGGCAGCCAATCGGAGCGGAGCGCGCGTTTTTTGAACCGCGGCGGAGGTGGCGCGCAACCCGTTTGGACCCGCGCGGAAAACGCTTCCTGGCGCCCTGCGGGCGGGGTGGTGGCTTCCTGCCATCCCACCCCTTGCGCAAGTATGTTTACGAAGTACAGCATGGGCTGCTCGGGTGGTGATGGGCACAAAAACATTGAGGTAAAGGTGGATCGCGAGTTCATAACGAATGTGCTGCCGTGCGCTTTCCCTCACTGCGTCAGTTTCTATGCACTTTACGGGCTTTTCATACACCACTCTGAACTGGACGCTACTGGCTGTCTTTTCATAGGATACTGTGGGTGGCTGTTACAGGCTCCGCTGCGTTTTTCTGCAAGTCTTCTGCCCCCCCAGCCATTACATTTCTGCTCGGCCACTTCGAGCCTCGCAGGCATCCTGTGCCCATAGGAGGGGCCATCTGGAGACTGCTGCTCATCGGGGCTCGGGGTCTCTGTTCTCAGAAGGCGCCTCCCGAGGATTGGGGCGAGGAAAGCGGCCACTGCACCTCTCCCCCAGGAGAAGCTCTGTGCTGTGATTTCTTAACATAACCTCTGCCATATTCACTAAAAGCTATTTCTGCTTGGTCAGGGTTATTCACCAACTGATGCGTTGTTATCTGCCTTACAGACATCTTTATGCCTTGAGATGATACACGCAAAGAGCCTGGCTTCCTTCCAGCTCTTGCTGCTTTCCATTGCACAACTACAGCATTTTCATGGCATTTAAAACCATGATTTATTTAAGCATCCCGGTTTCAGCCAAAACAGCGTTAACAGCACAGCAGTGTTTTGATTGTTGCTGAATGATGGAAGTGTACCTGGGTCCAAACATATTACTACATATCAAACATTTTTTCTATGTAATAGAGGAAATTTTTGGTTTAAGAAGAGTGCATCACAGGTGTTGGTAGTCATGGAACAACAAAAGCATGTCATGTCACAAACACACCTGGTCTTTTGATATTTCAGTCCGCACAAAATATAACCTTCTGTTCAAAGGTACTCACCTAGGTGATGCTTTCTCTCAGATAGACTGGTCTCAGGGAATGTTATTCAACCTGTTGTTGCATCGATCCCTGTACTTTCTTCATAGATTTTTGTTTTCTTTCATAAAGAAAATAAGTGAAATGATGTCCAAAAAAAACAAAAAAAAACAAAAAAAAACACAAAAAACCAAAACTACACACAGTTACATAAGCATTTCCTAGAATGCAGACAAAACAAAACAAACAACAACAACAAAAAAAAAGTGAAGTAATAAAGGAATATTCACATTTTTGGTTAAGTATCACAGTGTATGGAGTATATATATGACTAGTCTTTTCTTTCAGAAAGATGCACACTTTTATCGAAAAAGTTGCTTGATTACTCTGTAATAGGATCCCTGTGGAGAGCATAAAGGTATTTTCCAAATTTCAATGCTACTAAGCCATCTTAAATGAAATGCGGGTATGATTTTTTTTTTTCTACTGCCTTTCAGGAGGAGAAGTTCCTTTGGGTTGTGGTATTTACCAAGTATATAAGTGAGATCATTGGCCTAATTCCAATATGTGTATGCAGAGAGAGAGAGAGAGAATGAATTCTCTGTTGTTGAGGGCAACTCTATGAAACTGAGTAAAACTTATTTGTCTCTGTGACTGTGTGACATTTTATACAATGGATAAATGCTCATCAATCCTTTCATAGGCTACTCTCAAACCCCTTCACGTAAATATTGATTTCCTTTTCCTCTAATACCTTTCGGTAAGTAAAAATAGAATCAATTAGAAATATTTTCAAATCTGGTATAATGCAGAGAAACTTTCTGGATATTATCATCAGTACATTCCTGTTCATGTTCCTTTGAAAGCCAACTGCTTAGGCACCAAAGGAGATGAAAACAAGTCATTGATACTGCTGTTGATTTCTCTCAGGTATGTAGCGCACGATCAAGTTAGACATAGGAAAACATGAAAGAAAATCACATGACTCCATTAACACAACTTCAGAGGCTGAGATGCCCACATTCAGGAAATGTGAATGGAGAGATTGGTGTCTCAGAGTCAGTTATTTCACAGCTGTACAAGTGCAGCAGAAAGTCTGCATTGGTAGGGAAAATAAAAAAGCTCTGTGTATACAATGGTAACAAAAATGGTGATTGATGTAAAACGCAGCTGATTCATTGTGCCTCTTCATTTACTCTTTGCATCTTCAAAAATTCCCTCTGAATAATTCCAGTACTGCTGGGACTGACTGTCAGTGTTACTTAATCTGCAGTTTCTCTACATTGTGGCTACTTTATGGAATAAAAACAGCCAACGGGCAATCAGGGTTATCACTTTTCCCTGTTATCAAATATTGTTTTCGTACAGTGGCCTCCACAGCTGGGAATGAATAGCAGTGCAAGCTGCCTGATAAACCACTTCTGCAAAGAGCCTGTTCTCATCAAAGCATTTCTCCCTTGTTCTTTGTGTATTAGAAAGCTTGATGCCCACTAAATCTTCAAGAATACGCATAGGATGGCAGCTGATAGCACCAGAGACCAACCTGATAGTTTGAAAGTTATGACAATTCTTTAACTTCAGCATTAGGAAGTGGTCACCATTATGCAAGCAGATGCATTCTTCAGGAATCATTTCTGAAGAGGGGAGAGATGGAGTCAAGCTCACCTTTTCGCTCATCACCTTCAGCTCTTCATTTGGAAAAAGTCAGTGGAGACAGAATTCCATCCAACAGGCACAGCACTCACGGTGCAACTATTTTACACAGTGCTGCAACAGTACAGAGATACAGTATCCACTGTTGTGCGCTCTGCTCCTCTTCTGCTGATTCTTGACAGTGAGTTTCCTTGCAGTGCTTCTGGAGCTTTGAAGAAACAGATTACTTAGCTATACATCTATGGTTTGCAGGTGTGACAGGTTGTTTTCATTATAATCAACCCACAGGTTGCAGTGAAGGTAAAAGATAGCAGCATTATGCATCTGAAGGATCAGGTACCAGGGGTGGGAGGACAGACAGTGAAACTGAAAGCTACAGTCTAAAGCAGCTGAATATTTTTTTTTTGTACAGTAACCTCCAAAGCACCTCAAGTTTGAAGAGCCCAAGATGTGAATGCTGTAAAGGTCATGCAGAGAAACAAGGGAACAGACTCTTCTGGAGGGTCTGCAAGGGGAAATGGTTTCAAACTAACAGAGGAAAGCTTAAATTGTAGAGAAAAAAAAAAAAAAAAAAAAAGGTTTTTTTGTTTTTTGGTTTTTGGTTTTGTTTTTTTTTTTACAGTCAGAGTGGTGAGGGACTGACAAGTTGCCCAGAGAGGTGGTGAATGTCCCATCCCTGGAGATATCCAAGGTCAGCTGGGAGGGCTCTGAGCACTTTGATCGAGCTGTAGTGACGGTGTTCATTACTGGGGAGTTGGATCAGATGGCCTTTAAGAGTCCCTTCCAACCCAGTGCTTCTATAAACTGTGTCCTTGTGTCTGTGTGGGCAGTGAAGTTCACACAACTCACTGGTTCCAGACACCTGCTGTTTTCGTTAAGGCCACCAAATGCTGAAGGACTTAGAACTACATTGGAGCACTACTTGGGCTTTTTAAAATGGGGAGAATTCCAACAGCAATTGTCATATTAGATTTGAGCACGTTTTGAATCTAAGAACCATAAAGTTTGGAAAAAAACCTTGAGATCATCATGCAGTCCCAAAAGAACTATTAAGACAGAGTGATTTTAGTGAGGCTTATAAGTACCTACCAGAGATGGATCGTATAATCTTTTGTTGTAGAAACTGCTGCGATCGACATGGCATTAGAATTTCTACTTTTCACCTGAAGGGAAATTAATTAGAATGTAGCAGTGGCAGTCTTCAGCACACAGCTTCAGGTAGAGCCCAAAGGTAAATTCTCACCTGAGAAGAAATGCTGTCGTGCACACGACAGACAAACATAACCACAGGGAGCAGTCAGTCCAGGTGCCAGGTCCATCAGGATTCTGCACCTGAATGAGAACAGAAACAAGAGCTGAGCTGATCAAAACTCAGTCTAGCAGAAATCTAGGGAACAATTGAGCTCCCAGGTTCAACATGTAGGATTCTTTTTTATATTGAAGGATAACCACCACCACCCTTGCCTGTAGACTTGTTCCATGGAAGATGACCCGTGCACAGGTGGAGGTTGATGGCCTGTGGGGAGACTGACATCTCTGATTCCCCATTGAGATTCAGAGTGTTAATTTTTTTGTGTGTGCCCATGCTTCTTTAATTGACATAGTTGTTTGTTTGCATGCAATAAGGTATTTTGCAGTGTTTTTCATCACAGTTACTGCTACTTCAGGCAAAAGTTCATCTCCATGTTTACTTGGCCCTCCACATTTAATGTGATTATACTTTGAGAACATTCACATTTCCCTGAGAAGGTGCTGCAGCCTTTATTTCTTTCCTTGACAGATTTATCAAGAAAGCTCTACAGCACATTTATCACAAGCTTCTGCCTTAGTGCAAGGCGAATCCATCATCTCCAGACTGCAACTCTTCTATAACAATTATCTTGGCTGATTAAAACAGCAACACTATGAAGACTGTGTAAGTTGATTTTAATTCTCCAAACAAATTGAAAAGACATGAGAAAAGATCTCCTAAGAGGTCCTTACCGCCTTGAAGGCAATACCTAAACAAGTTTCCTCAGAACCTCAAAGCAGGTCCGTGGAAAGAAAACAAGTTTTGAATTTCACTTCATTTTAAGTCTCCTTCTTGAAATGTTGGTTGTCACGTGGGAAGGTTAGGAGGAAAAGAACAGCACTCACCATCCTTCCCATTCTGTCTCAGCTAATGGGAAAAGATTAATTGTAAAAAGTAATCAGTAAGCTTAATAGAAAT